CTGCCCATTCAGAATGAAATTGCAGAAGGGCCTGGGACCAATGGCCTGAGGCCACACCATACTCATGGCTCTCACCGTAGGCTCCATCCTCCTCTTTTCTTGGCCTAGCCTCTTAACTGCAGAGACTGTCTCACAGGGCAGAGCCCCTCTCCTGTACCCTGCCTACATGCAGAGAAGGTAAAGAATGCTCCACATCACATTCACCCCCACATCTCCTTTCCAGACCAAGTCCAGGAGCCTCTCTCTTACATAACCAAAGAGGTGGCTAATAGTTATGTCTGTACCTTTCCCATCAGATCTTCCTGTAAAAATGAATTCTGTTCCTGAAAGCTGAATTGCTCGTGCCAGCTTTTGTAAAATCAGCAGATATTCTTCAAATACGTAAGAAAAGAACAAGGGACATTTCTTGTTCTCAGTCAACTTTCGGAGGGGGAGGGTACACACATTTGCTTATCTGTATGGTCAGAGTAGAAAAACAGTCTTGGTTTTGAATTATGACCATCCTGAGTTTGGGCAGGCTCTTGACCCTCTCTAAGCACCTGTCTCCTCTGGGGACTGAACATGTTAATACAACGCCTTTCACATGGTCCTTTTTTCAAATCTGATTTTGAATCCCAGTAATTGAGTGAGAGAAAGGCATTGTGGCTCTGGGTGGAAGCTGAGCGGGTCACACCCAGAGCCCTGTCTGCTTGACCTCCCCTGTGCCCAGCTGTGACTGCACAGGGCATCATGGCACGGAGCCCCAGGCTAGCCCCACAACCAGGAGCTGATGCTCACATGTAAGGGTGTTTAGCACACGTTTCTGAAGACTACTGAAGTCTGGTTAGGGAAGCAAGACTCAAATCCTAGGACTTGGTCACCTCGGTACAACATAGAATGGAATCTTGGGACTGCACCATAAGGTACTTCTAGAGTTTGATAAGAAAGAGATTGCTGATGGTGGGAGTTGACAGTGGGGAGTGCAGTGCAGGGCAGGAGTCTTCCTGAGAAAATTGGTCCTGAGCAGCCACATCTCCTGGAAATGCTGCAGTCCTACCCGGCAGGCTGATAGCCAAGTGACAGGTGTCTCACTGCTGGGCAGCTCAGTTTCCTCCAACTCTCTGTCCTTGGCCATGCCTTTCATAGATGGTGAGGCCGAGGCCTCGGAGGGAAGTAGCTCAACCAGCATCTTAGAGGGAGCCAGGGCTCTGCCCCCAGCTGTCCCTAGCAGCGCTCAAACTTCTGTTCATCTTGGCCTCTAGGTGAGGAGTTTGAGGCCGGCAGCATCACTTCTGTCTTCAGCAACCGGGCTGTTGTGAAATACAGTCGGCTGGAGGATGTGCTGCATGGCTGCTCCTGGAAGATCAACAACAAGCTGGATGGGACGTACCTGCCCCTGCCTGTGGACAAGATTATCCAGCGGACCAAAAAGATGATCAACAAGATAGTACAGTACAGCCTGATTGAAGGGAACTGTGAACACTTTGTCAATGACCTCAGATACGGTGTGGCCAGGAGCCAGCAGGTATGGTACCTTTGCTCTGATGATGGCTTCTTGCTGAGCTTTCTTGGGGCTTGTGATTCCATCAGTGGTTGGAACAGTGGTTAGTGGTTTCATGCTGTCTGTTGGACTGGTGGGCTTCTACTTCTACAGGACTTGACGGTTCTGGAGGTATTTTTACCTCTGTCTTTTTAAAAAATATTTATTTATTTATTTATTTATTTATTTATTTATTTATTTATTTATTTATTTATGATAGACAGAGAGAGAGAGAGAGAGAGAGAGGCAGAGACACAGGAGGAGGGAGAAGCAGGCTCTATCTGGGAGCCTGACATGGGACTCGATCCCGGGTCTCCAGGATCACGCCCTGAGCCAAAGGCAGACGCCAAACTGCTGAGCCACCCAGGGATCCCCTATTTTTATCTCTGTTAACGGCTGGAAGAGTGCAAATGCACTGGGCTGTAGAGCAAAGACACAGGGTGGAGTGCCAGCTTGGCCATGCTGTCTCCTTGGTCAGACTGCTTTATTTCTGAGACTGTTTGTTCTTGTACAATATGGGGATAAACTGAGGTAGATACTTTATTGCTAAAGTTGCAAACTAGTAGTTGCATGGGGCCCACAGACATGTTTTGCTTGGATGAGTAGTGTTTTGTCTCATTTTTAATTTGAATTACTTGCCAACATTTAAAAATATAGACATTTTATATAAAAAGATCTGAATTCACAGCCTTTCTAGAACAACTAATTGATGACACCATCAGAGTGGTGTTCCTGCTTGCTGACATCCTGTGGGGCTGAGTAGTGGCTGCCTCTTTAGATGGGGCATGGTGGGGGGAGATCAGTGTGCCACCTGCCAGCTTCACCCACTTTACCTCCTTGGCCTGTGCTGCATTTGGGTTTGTGACCCCTCACCACACAGGGTGGTAATGAATCCAATGAGGCACAGCCCATGTGCTTTGAAAAATAGCTCTACATATCTGTGATAACTAGAGTGGCCGTTATTCATATTTAATCCTTACTAAAACCCCATGACATGAGCATGGGGTTTATCCTTTTTAATAGATTAAGAAATCAAGATTTTAAAATAATTAATTAATTAATTAATTAATTAATTCATGAAAGATACACAGAGAGAGGCAGAGACACAGGTAGAAGGGAGAAGCAGGCTCTCTGTGGGGAACCCAATGTGGACTTGATCCCAAGATCCTGGGATCATGACCTTAGCCACAGGCAGATGCTCAACTGCTGAGCCACCCAGGTGTCCCAAGAAGTCAAGAATTAAAAGAGGGACATAATTCTTCTGCCTTTTTTCTATGATTCTGATGTTCCCTCAGGGTATTGGGCTCAGATCCCAATACTGGTCTCTCTACTATTGCTGAGTGAGCATGAGCAGGTCACCATCCCCTGTACCCCTCCAATTTCTGCACCTTTATCCTTTGTACTTCATTCTCTCCTTTCCTGGCTTGTACTTCATTCTCTGGAGGCCTTGCTCCAGTGCAGGCCAGGGCTCGGGGGCTCTGGTGTAAAGGATCTCCAGTCCCATGAGCATTTGTACATGAAAAGAAGACCCCAAGGATCAAATGGACTATGAAGGGGCTTCTAGGGTGTGGGCCAAGCTCAGACACTAATTAACATTGTGACTTCATCCAAGCGAGCTCCCTCCCTGGCTTTCAGATTTCCTGTGTGTGGAATGAGGGCCCCAGTGGCTGTGCCACTCTGAGAACATTTGCCTCTGAACCCTATGCTAGAGGCAGACCCTGGGCTGGATGGCTCTGAGGGAGGCCAGGGGCCAGAAGCTGTGGATTCCCCTGGGGGACAGAGAGGGAGTGCATCTGCCTCAGATGTCCATCTCAGGCCATCCTGATTTCTCTAGGTCTCTTGGAGCTCTAGGATCTTTGGAAATAGAGGATAGCAATAGATCACTTCCCCCTCCAGGCAGGCCAGTTGCAGAAGGGGAGTGGTGCAGTAGGAGTAGGGCAGGGTACACACCTGGGATGGCCCTGAATGTCCTGTGTACTGGTCTGCTTTGCAGGTAGAGCACGCCCTGATGGAAGGAGCTAAGGCTGCAGGAGCAGTCATCTCAGCCGTAGTGGAGAGCATAAGGCCCAAGCCTGTAACTGCCTGAAGGTGCTGGGAACTCCAAGCAGAGGAAGGACTCCTGCCATTAGCATGGACAACATGCCTCCTTGCCTCCCCCTGCCTTCTCTCTCCATAACCCTACTCAAGAGAATTGTGAGCTCCTCGGAGAATCTAGAATGTATCCCATTGCCCCCCCAGAAATACATCCAATATGTGTGATCATAGATCCATGGACTCTTGGGGTGAGAAGAACCTAATATTTATTACGCATCCGTTAGGCACTAGGCATGGTGCTAGGCATTTCATCTGCTTGTTTGGTGGGAAGAACCCTGCTTGTTTCTTAGGCTGGCTCTGGTCTGCGATGTTAGAATCCCACCTAAAACATCCTGGAAACCTCTGCTTGAACATTCCCAGTAAGAAGAGCTCTCTTTCAAAAGTTGTTTTTCTTGCACTAGAATGTCTCCAGCTTTTTGCATTCACATGAATCCTGCTCTTTCTGCCCCACAGTGCTGGTGGTGGCGGGGAGGATGCTTAGGAAACTTGGTAGCTTGCTATTCAGGGCCATTTGTCCCCAATCCAAAATCATACACCAACTTTTTTTTTTGTTGCTTAACCCCACTGCTTTAAAGTATAATCAACATTTACTTTGCTTTCACCTTAGAATTACCAGAAAATTTGACACTGTCATTTTAACTGATTTCAGATGAATATTTAAAACAATTTCTTCAGGGGACTTCTGTGCAAATGAGGGAGAGGAGGGAGTGATTTTTGTGTGTCGACTGCCATTGTCATGATAGAAGAGCTAAAATTATGACCAGGGACTGTGGGTGCTGAAGAGAGTTGAAGCCACCTGGGAAGGCTAGAGAGGGACTCTCAGAATGACCAGGAGCTGTGAACCATGTGAAGGAGAGTGGGGTGGAACTCCCAAAGCATTTCACATGAGCTCTGTTAGGTCTCCCAGACCTCTGTTATGGTCTCCCATGAGCCTTTCTCCTATTTGGACAAATTAGACACTTAGTGAATCTCTTCCATGTTTCTTCCCCCCTTCCATCCTTTTCTTAGCAATCCAAACTTGACCATATCCTCCTATTCCCTAGACTCTGGAGTCTGTCTTCTACCAGCCCTTCCCAATGGCCTCTCTGGTTTGTGTGGCTGTTCTGGGTGTTAGTAGGTAGAACATATGCCCTAATTTCTGTGAATCATGATGAGGATAAAGCCCAAATCCCTCCAATCATCTCACCCTCCCTCTTCCCCCATCCCCAGAATCTGCTGAGTTCCTAATACCACTCCCTTCAGCTCCTTCTTCATTGTGGTCTAGGTTGAGATTTTATTTGAAGTAGAATCCAATCACCAGCAATTTATATTTTATAAAATATATTCCTTTTTGTTGTGCCCAAGATTGCGAATCCGAGAAACCACCAAGGAGCCGACACCGATGCAAACACGAGGGTTTATTTACAAGCTCGAGCTTGGGTCCGAGTGCACCCGACACAGCAGAGCGGGGATTTGGACCCCGAGGTGGGTTTCAGCTTAGTTTTAAGGGCTGGTCTAGGGGACCTCCAGAAGGGCTGGAGCAATTCCTCAAGTTCTGTTTACATTTTGATATGGGGCCTTCGAGGGCATTGAGCTCTGTTCTCAAAAAACAACTTACAGCTTAACGCCCTAGAAAGCCCCCTATTAGAAAGGGGGCTTTCTAGGGCGTTAAGCTGTAAGTTGTTTTTTTTCTGTAACTGAAGTAATGGAAATTTCAGCTCTCGGACACAGCGGAGCAGGGACTTGGACCTCGAGGTGGGTTACAGCTGGGTTTTTTATGGGCTGGTCTAGGGGATTTTCATAAGGGGTGGAAGAATTTTTTCCATTCCAATATGGGGAAAAGGGTGGGGGAGTTTCTTAAGATCTGATATGGGATTCTCTGCTGAGGGCATTTTGAGCTTTATTGTCTTTCCGATTTGGGATTCCCTGCCTAGGACATTCTGCAGTTTTTCCCGTAAAGTTCAGCTCTTATTCCCAGGGGCCTAAGATGGCTGTACTTGTGCTAATGCTAAACTTGAGGTGGGATGGCCTTAATTTTCATCTTCTCAGATGTGCTCTGCCAACTGTTGATAGGAATAAAATACCAACACTGTTCTATGCACTATTTTAAATGCTTTAGGACCTTCCTTGGCCCCACGGTCCACGTGTTTACTCCCTTCACGGTAGACTCTGTGACCCCCGAAACAGCTTCCCCATTCGATTCGCTTGATCCAGTGCTTTGAGTGGGTAAATGTTTATAGCAGTAATGTCTCCACTGGGCGACATAATGAAATTGAGATGAGAAGCTGCTTTATTTTATTTTTTTGAAGAGCTGCTTTATAATGAATTCAGAGATAACTAGGGGAAGAGCATACTTGAGTACATTATGCAAAGATGCATAATGAGGACAATGTGGGGAGGGCCAAAGACTGCATCATCCATAGGGCCCACTGAGCAGAGACAGAGTCCACACATAGTCCTAACAGCGCGCCTTGGCTAGTAGGAAAGTAGTAGTAAGATATTAGTGGGTAGGATGAACTCTTGAAGCTGACCTGTACCACTTTGGGGATGGAAGTGCTCTGCAGGATATAGACACTGAGTTTTGTTTACCCACATGCAGTAACTACTCACAGAGCTGAAGCAACAAAATGTATCCTCTTTACAAGAGGTGGAGAAAAACTCAGTCTGAGGAGGGACTGGAAAGTCGCAGGACATCAGAATCTCTTTGGTATGAATCAGCCTTTCAGGATTGGTGTAGCAGAGAGCATCAACTGGACTACTCCTCTCAATGCTGGGCTCAGGAAGTGTGGGGCAGGGGAGGCTCACCCAGCTTTATGAAGGACATATACCCACACTCCAAGCATGAGGACCCTACCCTGGCAGATACATAATGTTAGGAAAAGTGTGAAAAGATCTATCTATCTATCTATCTATCTATCTATCTATCTATATTTAAAATGATTATATATATATATATATATAATGATTAAATCTGTTATCCTCCAGATATGGGGAAATAATTTCTTAGAGGCTTCTTGAAATCTCTTCCTCTAGATATTCCCAGAGCTGCAAGTAGACTGGCTTAGGAATCTCTTATTTGCAAAGGATGGAAAATTCAACAAAATAACATAAGCAAAGTGAGGAGTTTACTGATTTGAGTAACTGTCAAATCCTGGAGTAGATGAGCTGGATTTTAAGGCTTCATGACATCAGCTTTAAAATAACATGATGGGCCAGTTGTCCAGAACCATGTGATTATTGTGGATTAAGAAGTGAGGGACTCAGGTCCACCCAAAGAACAAATGACTACAGTACACCTTATCATCTTAGATCCTTGCTTGTTTACTTCCAGTAGGACTCAGAACGTGCTCTGATGCACAGAAGCTGATCCTGCTGTCTAGACTCAGGGCTGATATTCCTTAGAGAAACTTCAAATGTGTGAGTCATGGGTAATGCTTGTTAACAGATTTCCCTCTTAGCTTATGCCATAGAAAATGTGTTTTGGGGTTTACAGTGTTTGTGGCTCCAATTGTGCATTGCAGCAATTCTGCCATTGCAGATCAGGCTCCCTGGACACAAACTCTGAGACAGAGGTTTGCCAGCAGGAAGTTCACTGGGGGAAGATGAGGCAGTAGGATCAGGCAGAGCAAGTCCAGCTGTGGTGCAGTCACAGCAAAGACCTGAGCCAGCCTACTGGGAGCTCGGGAGCTGCGATGGCCCTGTAGGGTGGTCCTGCAGTGAGGCTACAGGGCCCATCCTTTAATAGAGGGCCTCTCTATGTATGGGCTGGTGGCTGCAGGCTGTCAAGGATAAGGGGTGAGACTCCCAGAAAGCGTCTCAGTTGAGAGCTGCCAGCAGTCAACACTCCTAGCAGGTGGAAAATTCATCCTGAAGTCTGTGGGGAGCGAGCAGCACACCTACAAGGCAACCCACAGAAGTTTCTGCTACACTTAACATTTTCTGGGCCCCCTGATGATTTCTGTGGTTTTTATTCAACAATAAAAAGTTCATCGTGGGGAGGAGATACCCACACCATAGGATACCACATCATTGCCTCCCCTCCACATGTCCTGTCCACGCGATTCTGTCAGCAAATACGAAAATGATTTCTGTTTCAGGGGTGTTTGGATTTTACTGAACACTGGTGTAAGAGCTGCAGGTGAGATTTCCTTAAAGCGAAGTAACGAGGCTGTGCGAAAATATGACTTAGAAAAAATTGTAACTTTCTATCTGTTTAGATTCCTAGTTCCGCCTGGTGGCAGACAGTATTCAGTCATTTCAGGTTTAAACCGAGCCGTTTCCAAGCATCTTCTTCTCTTTCTTTTGCCCACGGATGATACTTAAATGACACGGAAGAGGGTGGCGTCTGGTCTGTTTCCTCTCCCCCACTGCTTGCATCTACCCTGGGGAACTCTTCTGTTGCGGTTGGGCCATCGCTTGCAGAGGAACCTGTGGTTTGTTCGGTTCCCACGGGTGCAGTTCATACTGCTGTCCACTGGGAGGCACCCTCCTCGAGGCTCTGAAACTCCTTCCTGCCAGAGCTTCTTAGGCCCAGCCGTTCTCTTGGCCTGTTGGCTGCCCAGGGAGGCTTGGGTCCCGCATCATCGCTCCCTTCCCGGGGCGCTGCATCCATACCCTGCTGCTTCCTTAAGTTTGTGGCAGAGGAACATCTAGAGTGCTGTCAAGTGACAAACGCTCTGTTGGGAGTGGTGCACAAGTTCCTTCTACTCCCAGGTCCCCTCTCCTAGGGGGGCAGAACCTAGCGTATTTGTCACCGGGAATAGGTCATATTTTAAGCCCTTCATCCTCTATATGGCAAAATGATTTTCATTCATAATCATGAAATAAGTAAATAATGTCATAGCCAGACTAGACAGTGAAAAACTTTTTAATTGATTTTTGAATATACAACCAAGCAAGCAAACACAATCGACTAAAATAAAACAACTAATACAAAGTACCACTATTTACTCAATAGTTTTTATTCTACCTTGGAATTTGAACCTTATCCTTTGGTTCCAAGCTGATATTATATTTTATGTAAATAATTGTCCACTAAGTCAATTCCAACAAAAGCTACACGCGGCAAAATGGAAACATCAGCAAAAGGTACAATAGAAGCAACTACTATTATACTGCTTATACAACATTTTGTTTTCTTAATTTGTTCTTTAGTTTTAAAAGAGTTAAGCACCTAAAAAATTATAAGTTC